AGTTACCTAAGGAAGGTACTGGAGTCTCCATCCGTAGAGGTGTTTAGGTCTCAGTTTGACAATGCCCTGGATGGGTTGATTTAGTTGGGATTGGTCCTGCCTAGAGCAGGGGGCTGGACTTGATGACCAGAGGTTTCTTTCAGCTCTATGGTTCTATGATTAGTGTCTGTCTGTTCTGTGAATAGGGCCCCTGTGTTAAAAGGAGGTCCTGAATAGAGTTCTGTGGCTCAGGAGTCAGGCTGCTCACTTCTTGGAGCTGCGGAATCATAGAATACTAGGACTGGAAGGGACCTCGAGAGGTCATCGAGTCCAGTCCCCTGCCCTCATGGCAGGACTAATCCCAACTAAATCAACTCAGCCAGGGCTTTGTCAAGATGAGACTTAAACACTTCTAGGGATGGAGAGACTATGGAAGCCATAGAGCAAGCCACCGAGTCTGGCATCAGACTTCACCTGCTAAGCTGTCAGTGCCATGGAGGACTCCTCCTTGATCGGGACCTCATACTCCCTGCGGAGGCTTCAGGCATGGAGATCTCAACTCTGACCAGCCGCCTGTGAGGTATTCACCTTGTACCTGGCGAACAAAGCCTGGTGCCTGATGCAACAATGGAGGGGAGGGAGGAGATACGATTAGTCACTTAGGTTTGCAGTCTAGTCATAGCCTCTTTCAAAAAAGCATCTTTTGAAAAAGAGCATCTAGATTACAACCAGTACTTTCGAAAAAGCAAGCCGCTTTTTCGAAAGAGAGCACCCAAGCAGTCTGGATGCTCTTTCAAAAAAGCAGTTTGCTTTACATAGTGCCTTTTTTTGAAAGAGCACTTTCGAAAAAAGGCATTCTTCCTCGTAAAACTAAGTTTTCCATGGTCGAAAAAATTGCTGTGTTTTCGATTTACTTTCAAAAGAACACGGCAGCAGTCTAGATGCAGGGTAAAGTTTTTTTTTTTTTTTTAAAGGCCACTTTTTCAGGGAAAAAAAACAACAACCCTGTAGTCTAGACACACCCTTACATCCCTAGTCCTGATGACTGTTTAGTTCATCAGTTTGACACCTCAATCTGGGACAGTTCCTCAAGTTTGTCACTTAAAAGAATGGCTCAATTTGGGAATCTCCCTCATGTCCTCAGCCATTAAGACTGGTGCAAAGAATTCATTTAGTTTTTCTGCAATTACCTTATCATCCTTGAGTGGTACTTTTAGCATTTTGATCACCCAATGGCTCCACTGGTGATTTAGCAGGCTTCCTGCGTCTGATGTACTAAAAAAAAATGTTATCCAAAAAAGAATGTGAAGAACACCTAGCCAAAAACTATCATCATTATTTTTTTATACTTTATTTGCAATAGTTTGTGCTCTTCTATTTTCTTTACTAGGATTTAACTTCTGCTTTCTAAACTATGCTCATTGCTTCTTTCACTTGGTGGTTAAACTACCGTGGCACACTTTTTTTTTTGTTCTGTTTTTTTTGTGGGGGTATACATCTAAGTTGCTTCTCTATTATGGTGTTCTTAAACAGTTTCCATGCAGTTTGCAGGTATTTCACTTTGGTACTGTACCTTTTAATTTTTGTTTAACTGACCTCATTTTCATGTAATTCCCCTTTCTGAAATTAAATGCTATGCTTTTGGACTGCTGTTGTGTTTTTTCCCGCAACAGGGATGTTAAATGTATTGTATTAAAAACTGGAAGCTCAATCCTAGTGAGAAAAATAGAAAGGAGCATAAAGTCTGTCAAATTAAGTGTAAAAAAATAAGACAAGCCAAAAAGGAGTTTGAAGAACAGCTAGCCAAAAACTCAAAAAGAAATGGCAAACGGTTTGTTTTTAAGTACATCAGAAGCAGGAAGCCTGCTAAACAACCAGTGGGGCCCCTGGACCAACAAGAAGCTAAAGGAGCACATAAAGATGGTAAGGTTATTGCGGAGAAACTAAATGAATTCTTTGCTTCACAATTTGCATTGGCCACTGTGACAGGATACTGGGCTAGATGGACCTTTGTTCTGACCCAGTATGGTTGTTCTTGTTCTTAATATGGTCACTATTTCCAACCGGCCCATCTATATTTACACCTCTTGGATGAGACTGTGCTCTTCTTTGGACTAAATCAAGAATTGCCTCTCCTCCTGTGGGTTCCAGAACTAGCTGCTCCAAGAAGCAGTCATTTAAGGTGTCAAGAAACGTTATCTCTGCATCCTGTCTTGAGGTGACATGTACCCAGGACATCTGTGGATAGCTGAAATCTCCCAGTATTACTGAGTTTCATTTAATAGCTTCTCTAATCTTTCTTAGCATTACATTGTCATTATCACCATTCTGGTCACACAGTTGGTAATATATCCATACTCTATTTTTATTAGAGCATGGAATTAATATCGTACTGGGTTCATTTAAGATTTTTACTTCATTTGAGTCTTCAATTTTCTCATGGTGCCTCTCCTCTACCAGCAAGACCTGTTCTGTCCTTCCAACACATTTTGTACCTTGGTATTACTGTGTCTCAATGATTATCCTCCTCATTCCACCAAGTTTCAGTGGTGCCTATTATATCAATCTCCTTCTTTAATACGAGGCACTGTTGTTCCCCCGTCCTATCATTTAGACTTCTAGCTTTTGTATACAAGCATCATATATATTGTAGCCCAATGTCTGTGACTCTCTAACGCTGAAATGCTGGCTGTTCCCTCTGGGCAGCGCTGTTGCCTCCTGCCGTGGCATTCAGCTGACTTCTGTGCCGCTCAGCTGGGCCACTGTGTGGAAGCAAGTGGCACAAGCAACCGTTTGGGCTCCACGGTCTCCCCAGTGAGAGGCAGAAGGGGGAGGAGAAGAGAAAGAGAGAGGCAGAGAGACAGAGGAGAACTGAGAGAGAGAGAGAGAGAGAGAGGGAGAGGCAGGAGGCAGTAGGAGGAGGAGAGAGAGAGACAGAGTGAGAGACCGGAGGCTCAGGAGAGAAGGCCGATGTGGAGGAGAGACCTGAAAATCCCATCTTATGACAGGCGAATTGGCTAGTTTTGAAAGATTGTCACTTAAGTCTCACATTACATTTGATTGAATGGGACCCTTCATTCAACTGTTTTGCCTCAGATCTTAGACTTAAGCCTCTCCTCCTTACTCGGACATAGGGAAAGGTCTATTAATAGAAATTGTCTAAGGGAGGACTATGAGATCCATGTACTCCTCCCCATCCTGTTGGCTTTCCCCCAGCTCTTAGTTTAAAAACTGCTCAGCATCCAAAGGAGAAGAACGTGGGGCTGCTGTTCCCAGGAGCCAACACCAACATCTCCTATCCAGGAGTGTGCTACCAGCCTAGTTGCACACCCCTCTGGGTAAGGGAGGGGTTGGCCATGCATAAGGGGCTGCCAGCACAGGGTGGCTCTTGGTAGCAATGGTCTCAGATGATGGTTCTTTCTATGCTGCGGTTCTCAAGAGAACCCTAAGGTTCCCTAGATATCAATTTGTATCTTCACAGGGCTCTCAAATCCTGAACTTTGGAGAACTACTCACTCAAAGCTTTCCTTTTTATCTTGTAAGCTTGCACTCATGATTTCTTCATACCCTTGAGTCTTCTGTGATACTCAGGATTGCTTTGGAGGGAGTTGATTTCTCTTTGGGGAAAAAAATTAAATAGATTGGCTTGCCTTGAAATAGCATTTCACCAATGGCAAATACTGGATTAACAGGTTTTGCCATATCTCCCTTACCAGAGTACTGCGTGGGAAAGCCTGAACTGCCCCAATGGGGTGAGCTCCAACCCGTATTATCAGTTTCTCCTATGCATGAGCACTGAATTTTAGGTCAGGGCTGAACAAGAAAACAAAATGCTAAAATTGTAAATATGCATTTCCATGAGGGGAAGATGAGCACCTGCTTTTTTTCCAGTGGGAAAGCCTTTTGTTCAATAAGAAATATTTTATCTCTGAATTTTCAGACAATAAGGAAGGACTGCATATTCAATTACTAGAATCCAAGTTTATACTTGCCATTGGCGCTGAATTTTCATATGCTGCTGGACCTCTCACCATGTCAACTCTAATATGTTTAAGAAAATGAGAGCTGTCACAATTTTAACTGATACACAAACCTGATGGAAATCAGCAATGAATCCACCACCTCTCCCTAGTAATTATTGTAAAATAAACCTGTGTAAACAAGTTGTAATAGCTTACAGTCTCTAACCCACAGGTCACCAACCAGTAGATTGGGACCTACTGCTAGATATTGGAGCCTGTGACAGGTGATCCTGACTAGTTGCCAGGAGACTATGAGCACAGCACTTCAGCTGTCCCTCTCCCCACTGCTGTGCACCTCCTGCCTTTTGCCTTGGAGCTGCCTCCCCCTGACCTTCTGGGAACCTCCTGCTTGCAGTTCAGAGCAAAGAAGGGAGAGGAGGGGGCGCTGACATCAAGGTGCCTGCTCTTCCCCCCTATAGTCTATTTTCACAGAATGGAGGGGGGCACAAGGCTTGGGATGGAGGGAGTTTGCTGGCTGCTTTTGAGAGTGGGGCAGGAGCAAGCCTACCTCAGGCCCTCTGCACCACCACCCAGGATCCACCTGAGGTAAGCAGTGTCCAGCTGGAGCCAGATCTGAGCTCCTGCCCCAGTCATGAACCCCCTGCTGTATTCCAAGCCCTTGTCCTAGCCCTGAGCCTATAGTCTGAACCCCCTCCCACACCTCAACTCCCTGGCCCAGGCTCAGCTCAGAACCCCTCTGAGCAGGGGCAGGACCTTCAAAAAGAGGCACAAAGGAGTTGGGTCAAGGATATTTGGGTTTGAGGTAGATCCTGGGTTGCACTTAAATTCAAAAAGTGATCTTGTGCTGAAAAAGGTTGGAGACCACTACTCTAAACTGCATAAAAGCTGAGTGAATCAGTCTCAAAGTGTGATTGCTAAACACAAGGACATATTTCAAATATGTTCTGGCTATGTCCATTTGTGACAACTTCCAGGACAACTTAATTCCTCTTCCCCCCCCTTTTTAAATAAAAGAAACATTTTCCTAAAATTTATAATGAACTTTATAGGTACAAATTTGTGTTACATGTCAAGATAGTGAAGAAAAAGGATTATTTTCCACTAAAAATATTAAATATTTTTCTCTGCAGTCTAAGTAGTCCTTTCTACATATTTTGTGTAAGAATGTGATGAACTATCCTTTAACACCCAACTCTCTCAAGGTGGTACTTGCCAAAAGAAATAAAAGAATTTTTCAAATGGATTTTTGTAACATTACTTATTGTAGCACAAAAGCTACAATAAATGTGCCCCTGCTATGATACAAAATGAGATTATAAATTCCATATGATTCAGTGGGAAAAACCATCATTTATAGAGTAGAACCATCAAGCAGTTCATGTGTAATGCCCAAGGATTACATATAAAAATACCACAGAATAGCACAAGTCTGTTCCATTCTATCTTTACACCAAGCATTTAAAAACATGTATATCAAACCAATTCTAAAGAATTTTGAAAACATTTCAAAGATAATAAATACAATGTGCAGCTCTACCATGATGTGAATTAGACCTATATAAACTTGGGATGCTTTCTGTAGTTTATGTGAAACAGAGGTGCAGGTAAATAAAATAACCAGTACAAAGATTGTATTTTCTCCATATCTGCTGAATTCCATTGTTAGCAGGGCAAGCTGCAATTGTTTTGGAGACTGAGTCATCAGTGAAGTTATGTCAAAACACTCTTTTAAAATGAATGGTCAAGAAGAGCTAGCAAGCTTTTCCAACAGTATTAATTTTGTTTTTAAGTTTAAATTCAAAGGAGGTAGTGTAGTAAAGTTCAACCCAATTCTATTGATGCCAGATATGTGTGCGAGAGGTCGATGGGTCGTCTTGTAAGGAGATATTTGAATGGGATCCATTTCCATTAGAATGTGCGTATAAGACATCATCATCTGGTCCCCTGGTTTAACATCTTCCCTTTTGTCATACCTGTAAAGAATATGCAGTGGATTTATTCACATTCTTTTTGGTGCATATTAAACTTCTGCTAGACAAATACTGCTGCCCTTCTGAGACTTTTAAACTCAATTATGTGAGCCACAGAAGTAAGTGTGCGTGCCAAGCTCCATTAGGGATGTGAAAGGTTAACTGGTTAGCATCACCCTTAACCTAAACCTAATGTTTAACTGGATAACCAATTAAACAGGATGCTCTATTTGGTCCCACGCAGCGGGAAGATAAGAAATATTTGTATGTTCACATTCTAGTCTATACTTAAGAGTTCCCATTTCTCCTGTATCTTGCAACAATGGGGCAAGAACGAGGGACTGAAGAAACCTCCTTACGTGTCAATGTGTATATCCACAAATCCTTCACATATAAGTTGTTTCTTCCCTGTTGGGATGTAAAGGTCAATCTAAAAGCTACCAGTTGTCGATTAGCAAGAGGAGGGGCTTTAACTCCCAAATGAAAGCTTCCAAAACTCTTAATATAAACTCAGCCGACCTTAATCCTTCTTTAAGTTATTTTTATGAAATAATCAGCCTCAGTTTATGAACATTGAGCTGATAAGACAAACTGGACAGGAAATACATTTGTCCTCTAGCAACTGCTTATCCCTCAGTATTCACCTCTGAGATGCATCTAACTGTGATGGAGAAGTCAAGAGGGGCAAGGATAACAAAGTTAATAGAAACAGAGTCTTCACTCCTGCAAAATCCCATTAGCAACCCTAATTTCAAAGATAGTGCCACAGCCTGAAGAACGTTCTTAAGAAGCCCAAGATTCCAGTTAACGTACTGGGTAATGGTATTATGGATGTAATAGTGTAATTGACTAACCAATTAGCAAAAGCTTATCAGTTAATGCTATAGACTACATGCACTTCTCCCTCCCACCCCGCAAGTAAATTTTTTAGCAGGCTGGCCAGCAGCCCGGCTCAGTTTCTACACTCACTGGGTCTGGAAGCTCAGTCTCCCCCACCACCCCCTGACAGGGGCTCCTACCTCTGTATCAGAGGCAGCAGTACCAGGTGACAGGCAGCCAGTCTTGAAGAGAAGCTGGTTTTAAAATTGGCTTCTCTCGTGGACCAGTTCCTGCCTGGCACCCCATGCTGCTACCTCTGATACAGTGGCAGTAAAGCAGAGTGGCAGGAGGCTCCTCGGGGGGCGAGGCCAGATTGCACTGGCTGCCGGCCCTGCCTCTGGGGATTATAGAATAGTTGAGTAACTGATAAGAATTCATGAGGTTCCTCGACTATTCAATTAACCGATATTTAACATCCCTAAATGGTACATTAATGTATGCAAACTACAGAAGTATTGAGATGGCATGTGTGGTCAGGCTGGTGGAAAGAATATAACATATGGCCAACAGCCTTCCCAATTCCAATGCACCAGTCCTCCTGTGGCCTAGTACAGGAGCTAACATTAGGATGCAATCCTGAGTTCATGCTAATGGAGAAAATGTGAACTAGCTTATAGGATCCATCCAGTTTTAGAATCTATATAGTCTCTTTCAGTCTCTCTTTGAAGGCAGATAATGGCATTCCAGATTTTTCTTGAGGCAAATAGAGACTCTGGGCATACCAAGGAAAGCTAACTTCAAAACACTTGTAGTTATAGACTGCAGTTATCTTGATGAATAATCAGACTGTTTAGTCATTCCATCCATAACTCCAATTGTCCCTTTGTGCGTACAGTCTGTGAAAGACAGTAAATTATTTTCTATCCCTCTGAAAGGCTCGTGTTTCCCCATGCTACCCTGATTCTTTTCATTATTGTGTTGCCTGATGAGAACCGGGTGCTCATGTGAACGATGGTCAACTGCTGTTTATCCTTGACCTCATCTGTGTTGTTCTTTATGATGACTCTTTATGATGCTCAAGGCATCTTTCTGACATGGAAAGTTAACAGCAAGGGACAAAATACCCCTCTATATGAGGCAGCAAAAATGAGTGACAAAATGCTATTCCTTTTTTCCGTCACATCATGGCCTCACATTCTAATATTGAGCCATCCACAGGAAGCAAAAGCTGGTTAAAATCCATCAAAATTAGGCATCACAGTCAGAAAAGGTAAAATAGTCCAAGATCTGTTCTGTAAAGAAACTAGCTGAATAAACAAGAATTGGAGAACTCTAGATACCAGATCTGCCGCATCACATGGGAGGGAACATTGCACAATGATTTCTGCCAACTCATGATTTAGACCTTCCTCCAACTCCCAACATGTGAACAGTAATCTGACATGAGGATAGGTGAACTTGCATTCATGAGGAAATTTCCCCTTTAACTTCTAAAGTATTGTTGAAAATCATGACCTACTAGAAATCCCAGACACAACTAAGTTGGGGATTATCTTAAATTCAAAACAAATTCTGCTCCCATTCTATCAATGAGAGTTTTTCTATTTCCCCGAATAGTTATAAGCAGGGCTCGCTGAACCATGGCGAGCCCTGATCGCCAGCTACACTGTCCAGCGATCTGCGCATGTCAGATCGCCGGAACCCGGCTCTTCCGGGTTGCAATCTACTCGCCACGGGCAAGTAGATTGCATTATTTGTTGAGCCCTGGTTATAAGATCAAGCCCTTGGCATACCTTTCTGTTGATAATCTTTGACAAAGCTTCTATTTTAGAATAAATGAACAGACCATGGTTGTGGAGACTACCTTGAAAATATAAAGTGCAAAGTGCACCCTTGAGAAACTGGAACAGCAGCATCCAGGGATATCAACATCTAACATTCATCTTAATAGTTGGCCCCTTCAGTGTCAAAATAGTTTACCACTTTGTTCATAGAATTATAGGACTGGAAGGGATCTTGAAAGGTCATCAAATCCAGTCTCCTGCACTTAAGGCAGAACCAATCATCATCTAGACCTGGGATGGGGAAATCCAACCCTTTTGCACAATCCAGTGAGCACTGACTCCCAGTTGCAGGAGTGGAGCAGCAGAGAGCTAGCACTAAAGCCCCTGCATGACTGGCTGCCCCGCAGTGGAGAGGAAGCAGCTCTGTGCACTACTATAGCCTGAGGGAGGTGGGACGGGGAATGTCTATACTACAAGCCTCTCACGCTCTCATTTGCATTTCCTCTTCCTTTCCCTTTTGCGCAAGAGGTTTTTGCACAAAAAACCGCTGTGTAAACGACGCCTTTTTGCGCAAAAACCTCTTTGTGCAAAAGAGAAAGAGGAAATGCAAATGAGAGCACGACCTATGCAAATAAGTGCTCCATTTGCATTTGGTCTTCCGCAAGAGGCTTGTAGTAAAGACGTAGCCTCAAGAGTGCAAGGAAGCTAATGCAGGGGCCTGCAGGCTCTACCCTCATCACTCCCATTGGCTGGGAATCATGGAGAATGGAAGCAGTGGGGGGCAGTGCCTTCAAGTGCAAGGAAGAGTAGAGTGACCTATGACCCTCCTCCTCCCTGGAGCTGTGCTAGGTAAATTCCCCAAATCCCTGCCCCCTCCCACATACCCAGCTTACTCCGGCACCATACCTCCTAAACAGAACCTGCCCTCCCATCCCCAACCTCCCAACCAGACTCCACACCCCTACCTTCAGCCTGCTCCCATGCTCTAGCTACCGCACAGACTCTACACCCTCACCCCCAACAGCCCTCTCCGGCAAACTGAACCCTTCATTTTTGGCCCAACCTGAGAGCCTAGATGGGCCCAATAAAATATACTGGCCCCTTTGCCCCCAGAAGAGATAATATAGCTCTTGGGGGAAGCCCAGAGCCTTGGCCTTGCCCCACAGGGCTGAAGCATGGGGGGAAGAATGCTGGTGCCCCGAGCTGCAAGAATGGGGTGCCTTTTGCGCTTCTCAGCTGTGGTCACATTAGTGAGGGCATTTTTTTCTTGGGAGGAGAACTTTGCAAAGCCTGCCCCCACCCATGACCCTACGTTGGGTTGGGACTTTCATAGTTCCATCTGAAATTTCATGGCGATGGAAGTACATGAAATTGTGAAAATGACCAATTAAAAAACCATCTGGCCTTGAAACTGACCAGAATGGATTATGAATTTGGTAGGTCTCAACTCATAATTAAGACAATTATTTGAACATGCAAATACCAGAACAGCTTTTCAATTTAAGATATTTGCCACTGTCCCCCTCCCAAAAAAAAATCAGGAAAAAAAAGTTTATTACGCTCTACTGTCAACAGCTGAAAAGTGATGGATCATTACAATGTGTTTTCCCAAATCCGGTGAAGGAAAGAAGGACTTTGGGAGTTATCTAGGAAACATTTTTTTCCAGTCAAACCTTAGTTGGCTGAGTTTAATACGGATTTTTTTATTTTTCCTCATGTGTCTTAAAATTATCTCAGGTACTTAAAACAATAAATGGGCCAATAAAAACAGGAACAAAAGCTCCACATATGTTCTATGTTTGGTAGAAAATCACCACAGACTAAATTCCCTGAAGATTTGGATTGCCCTTGTTCATGACTTCACAAGCACACTGTGTAAGAACCAATGCTCATCATGTCAGCCATCATGTACATACACAAAAGAAAAAAACAATGTTTGCTGTCTTGACAAAACCCCTTGTTAAACAACATACCTCCAATTTGAGTTGACTTCTAAAAATCGAGACACTCCAGTCTGTGCAGCAGTCACATCAATATGAACAGAGACATCTACAAGAACAATATTTAAAAATAACTGTAACTACAGGACACCTATAAGTGACTAATTAGCTAAAAACTATAAAGATACATGTAAATAATCCAAAATAAACAATATCTAATGTATTCATGAGAAACATACAGCAAAGAATCCAGAAAACTCAAGTTAGATGAATGCTATTTAACATTTGAACTAGTATACATACCTGCTGTGGAAGGTACTAACTCATGTAATTTCTGTATTGCAACTCCTCCAGGGTAATTGAAATGCGAAACATAAAGTGATATTCCTGAATAAGCAGCATTAATTAGGAGATGTGTCATAACCAACAGAGATCCTAGTTTATATAGCCAAGATTTTTTGTATTTATTCAATCTGTGAAGGTATAAAAAATGAGAAATGAAAAAAAAAAATAAAATCCCCAGAATTAGATCTTGCCTTTATATTCTGTAAGTGGTTACTGGGCAGCATATTTAAAAATATAACGTTTCATTGCTGGACAAAAGCAAGAGTGAGGGTGGCTTCAAGTTTTATTAACTAACAATTTATAACACTGCACTTCTTTCCCACAATTCTAAAGGAATTATTTTTGACAAACTAATAGTTGTAATTACAAATACTAAAATATTCAAAACATAACACTTTAACACTTCCATTTGTTTAACTTTTAGCTATCAAAAATAAACCTACAATTCTCCAAAACACTTTGGAATTTCACTTTATCTAAACTAAATTCAGTTCTTTAAGGTAAACATTGTAGTTAAATGTGCCTAATACATAATTAATGCCAAGCAGTTTCCTAAATGAAGTAAAAAACAGTACAGCTATTCACTAGAATTTGCCTCTTTCTCTTGTGGATGATATTAACAGATTTATAATACTACGCAGGGCATACATGTTGCGGATGCGTACTTATAACTTTAATTAATTGGAGTCACGCATTCATCAAAGAAAACAAAACCCCATATTTATAGAGCTTATAAAATAAGATTTCTAATAATTTATTAATTATCGTCAGACAATAGCGATTTTACAATGTTGCAACCTTAACTGATGTCCTGTTTCATAAACGATATTTTAACTATTTGGTTACAAGGCTAAATCTTGAGGTCAAATTCTGGAACAAAAACAAAATCTTTCCCAAATAGGTGTGCATGTATTGAAAAGAAAGTACTAAATCAGTGGTTCTCAACTAAGGATGGTGAGAAACAGGTAACTAACGAATCGCGTACTAGATACAATTTGCATCAATTAGTTGAGAAGGGGCCCCACTGCGGGTCTGCAGTTTAATTGTAGTAGGAGCTGGATGTGCAGGCTCTGCCTTATAAATGTAGTAAAAGTCAGGAGGTTTTTACTACATTTAAAAAGCAGAGGTGCGGAGATCTGGGACCCGGACTGCTGCACCTCTGCCTCCCTTGCCGTTCCCTCCCTGTACTGCGGAGACAGTGCTGGGGGGAACCGGCTTTTAAGTCAGCTTCCCTCAGCACTGGCTCCTGTTTCCTCTCCTTTATGTCTCTGATACTGAGGCAGCAATGGAGGGGCAAGTAGTGACTTGACTAGTTGCCTACATCCCTATTCTCAACCTTTTTATATTTGTGGACCCTTCTACAATTTTGAATGTAGGTGCAGACTCCTTTGGATCTATTGCCTGTATTAGGGATGTAAAATCCCATTTAATTAGTTAACCAGTTAAACATTGTTAGGCCAGTTAACCAGTTAAACTGGGTGAGCAGGGGGGCTGCTCCATCCCAGGTGTAGCATCCCATCCTCCACCAATTAACCGTAACCAGTAAGCCTCACCTGAAAAGGATGAGACTTAATGGTTAAAACTAGGTTAAACCTAGTGGCTACGTCTACACTGGCCCCTTTTCCGGAAGGGGCATGTAAATTTCACTAGTCGTCGTAGGGAAATCCGCGGGGGATTTAAATATCCCCCGCGGCATTTAAATAAAAATGTCCGCCGCTTTTTTCCGGCTTTTAAAAAAGCCGGAAAAGAGCGTCTAGACTGGCCCCGATCCTCCGGAAAAAGTGCCCTTTTCCGGAGGCTCTTATTCTTACTTCAAAGTACTTGCCTCTTAATCCAATTCTAGAACAATCTATTGAGGCTCTTGCTGGGAAGGGCTTTCAGAGCTTTGTGCTGAGCTAGCATAGGGCAGCCTACTTCCAATCTATGCTGCACCACTGCTGGCAACAACAGCTCAGGTACAGAATCTGGCCCTATCCTCACCTGCGTACACACCCTCCTTTGGCTAACACACTACATTTAATGTTTTTCTCCTCTATGTGACAAAAGAACTGACCTGTATCTTGTAAGTTACTATAAAGTTTTGAACTGTAAAGAATCTTTTCAAGAAGTATTACTCTGAACTTACATTCGCGTGCAACCTTTGGCAGCCACTATGTTGAAGATGGGGAAAGTGTATATGATAAACCGCAGCTCTTTGTGTGGGAGAAAGGAATACAAAAAAATAAAACCCAGAGTTGGTAGAAGTAATACCCGAGTCCTTTTGTCTGCTGCTCCTAGAGGCACGAAAATAATACTGCATCCCAAAGCTCGAGGCAAGGCTGAATAGAAATACCACAAGAAGGGAGAAGTCTTTAAGATGAAAAAGGAGTTAAGGATATTTTTGTTATCAGCAAATATCTGGGTTAAGATATCTTTATCCTTTGAAATATTCTGCAAAAATGTTTGCAGGTTATGTAATAAGTTTATTATTGTTTCAAATTACTTATATATTGAACTTGTAAATAAAATGATTTAGTAATTTCTGCAGATGTTTTCTTCACTTAAGTCTTGCAGCCATCTACAGAAGCTGATTGAAAAATAGGGGGAAAAAATAACTAATTTTGTAGAAGTGTTCTATGTCCAAAATTTTGAGGAATTTGATTTTACCAGCTTCCCATGTAAAGAAATAAGTATGTTTCAATGATCCCTTACTATATCCTTGGACATACTATGAGCCTTCCCTCCCCTCAGGCATTCAGCTACCATGACAAGGAGCACAGTTCAAAAACCTACACCTCAGGACACATGTATATATTAATGAATCACTGAGCACAACTACACATCTAAATACAATTACAACAGAGATCCTGAATTTAAGATTTTATTTTAACGATTACAAGAAAAGTAAGAGACAAAAAGGACAGGTACTGGAAAAAACTTTCATTTGGTAACATGAAACCATCTTTTATCATCTTTTTCAAATGTTACAGGATTTTATAGCTTCTCTTCTCCCCTCCCCCTTGTGCTCAGCTGCCCTTGCAATTGCAGTCTGTGACCTACTGGTCTTTTCCCACTCTTTTCCTATTGCAAAAGCTATGCTGGGAATGTTAAACAGTTAGACAATGTGAATTAAGAAGTGGGTAGCAAGTCAAACTATTGCTGGAAAGGCAACAGGATTGCAGGGGACAGAGAGATAAAATGCACTCCCATGAAAAGAGGAACTTTAAGGTTAGAAGCAATAAAGCAAGAGAGAAAAAGTCAAGGAGTGATTTTCAAATTGGGCTCTTAACAGTAAAAACAGACAGGACAGATTGTAGACGTTTTGTGGTGACTGAGAGTTCAATATGACACCAAGACCTTGACTAAGAAAAGCTATATTATTTAAAAAAGAGTGTATATCAGAGCTGTTCTACTGGTGCTACCTACAGCAAAAGCTACAGAGCAGACAGGATTCAGATGTTTTTGAAACTGGATCATCTAACCCTATTCTTAGTCACTGCCTGTATTACAACTGCAACTGCTGTTGCCACCACTGCGCTAGTGGGAAATAATTGGTTCTGTTTTTGCCAATGTCGACGCAGCTCAAGGCCTTAGTGACAGGGACGACAGTGGAATTTACTACCAAAAGGAAGAGAGGAGGAAAGATATGGTGGAGAAGAGACTGAAGGACAGATGCAGGACTGGATCCTATGTCCATGAAAATCATGGAAAATTCTTCCTTTGACTTTAATGGGGCAGGAGCAAGCACCAAGAGAAGGACTAGAGAGAAGTATGTATTGGAATTGGGCCCCACAAAGTAAAATTTCAGCTGAATTCTGTCACCAGCGCCAAACATTTCAATCATGTCACAGCTGAGTCCCAAGAATAAATCAATGCAAATATTTAACTTAGCTGACACAGGGCCATGTCTTCATTTTCTTGTATATATTTAAAGGATACTCCCCAGTTGGAACTTTTATTTAAAACTATATTATACCAAAGCACTTTCCCCTCAGGCCATAGAAGCTGCCTCCAAAACACAGAGTCCACAGCAATTGTTAGTCCTAGAAGAAAAAAAAATCCACGACTGAGGAGCTTATTCAATCTGAACATTTATTTAAGAGTTGATCATAAACTGGGACATCCTATGAGCCTGATCTAATGCAAATCAAAACAAACAGGAGCAGGCCAGGCTGTGTCTTGGGCTGACACAGAAATGTTGTGACAGGTGGTTGCAGTTTGCATTTCATTGTAGAAATCATAGGCACAATTAGGGATTCATATTTTATTCCCCTATGTGCAGTGTGAAAAATAGTCTGGACTGTGAATCAGGAAGGATGTGAAGGAGGGAGTGGCTGCTCTCTAAAACATCCTGCACCTCAGTGCCATGAGACAATTCAGAGGAAGTGAATGCTTCTGTATCCAGAAGTATCTTACACTGCTTCACCTCTCCCTGCAGTAACAGCCTTCCTGCCCTCCATAAAAAGGCAGTGTATTGATGTGGTCACGATCTGGCAGCCTCTAAGAGCATGCTTTTTAAAAGAGACATTCTACCATGAGGAGGCTCAGTGGGACTACACAATATGTTCCAGGCCTCCACAAATGGCTTGGAACCCAAGAGATTTCATAATCTTTCTGCAGTGACCAATACCTAGTCTGTTAGGGTGTATCTAGGCAAAATGGCTCCGTTGATGGAGCCATGTAGATATGTTTACTAGACATAGCAAAATGAAGTGGCTATTTAAATAATCGCCGCTTCATTTACATCAAAATGGCCGCCACGCTGTGCCAATCAGCTGTTTGTCGGCACAGCGCAGTAGACTAGATGGGGATCAACTGACCCCAGATTCCTTTGTCGTCAGATCCTGTAAGCCTCGTTTCACGAGGCATTATTTAAATCGCCGCTTCATTTTGCCATGTCTAGTAAACTCATCTTCAGGGCTCCGTGTACGGAGCCATGTAGTCTAGACACACCCTTAAAGCTCTAGAAATGAATAAGAAAGGGCCATGGCATGTACCAGGCAACTCAAGTCTCTTTAGAATCCAATTTTCATGAACCTTCCTCCTTCAGTCTTCCTCGATATCATCCTGTGGCACATCATATTACATCTTATTCCCAGTCTGAGCTTGCTTTGGGTGGAAATCTCAGGCCCTTTGTCGGTAATGAGATCCAAAGCCCCTGACTATTTTGAGTGGGAAAGTCCATCTCTTTATGATAATAGTGCACTCTAGGAAACATTGCAAGTTAAAACGTGCAGCATTTTCTGGTCCCTCAGCAAGCTCCTTCTCTGTAGGAGACAATATAGTCCAAAGATTTTTGCTAAATAGCATGTATTTCTCCCAGAATAAAATTTCATCAGTTTAACGAATAAATTAGTTGTCCTGTGGGAAGAAAAAATTCCCTTTATTTTTAACATTTGCTTTCTATTAAGTAAGTTTTACTACAGGCATATTTTTAAATAAAGGACCTTAGAAAAGAGGCAATATTAGATATTACATTTAATAAAAAAATAAGCACTTACCTAACCAAAAAAGGCCAGCAGCAACAGCATGAGAAAGCATCTTTAAAATGGAAATTCTTTTACTTAATAATGTCACCAGAAGCATGAGACCTAAGAATATACAGAGCTCTGATCTGAAGACAATAATTGCCAGTGATGAGAACCAAATAAATGGTGCATGCTTTTGTTGTATCCAAGATGTAAGTGCCAGGAGAACTGTAAAAAGATTTTAAAAACCCCACTATATTAACCACTGGATATCTTTAAAGTTTTTTAATTCAACTAGCTCCTTCCTTTTTTGGGGCCTGATTCTGTACTCCTACTGCAATAAAGCTTTCACAAAGCCAGGAAAAGGTATGCAGAATGGGGCCCTTTTTAAAATACTCTAGTTTGATGCATGTGCTAACTAGGAAAAGGACATATCTCAAAGGAGGGAGTCTTGAATCCCTCCCTGAGGAGAATATATAATTAGTGACACATATAACTCTACTTGTGACAGGGAACTGAAAACTTTCCTGCCTCCATAAGAAAGAGGCAGCAAGCGGGGAGGGAGGGCCGGAAGGGTGCTTCAAAGCGGCAGCACTCTGTGGAGCCTGGAACTGGCCCGGAGTCCCCAGCCGGCCCGGGCTGCATGCAGCGTTTCAAAGTAGCAGTGCTGCATAGAGCCTGGGGTCACCTGGGCTGGTGTCAGTCTGGAGTCTGGCTCCATGTTGCATTTCAAACTGGCAGTGTCTCCCCCACTGATCCCGTGCAAACTGTATCAACTATTCGATTAGCTCATTAATCTAAATTTAGCATCCCTACTAAGAACAAGGAAATGTGAATACATTCAGGTGGCTAGCTGAATGAGTCACATCTCTATATACTATGGGTTCTAAATATTTTTCATTGTGTAAAGCCACATCCTAACTAAGATCATATTGAGGACCAGTCATGATCACAAAGCATCCACGTGGAATTACAGTGATTATTTATATGACAGGGTAATACAAATTGAACCTCTCTAGTCTGGCACCCTTGATACCTGACCAGTACTAAACCAGAGAATTTGCTGAACCATGGGAGATCAATATTTTCTAGTAGCACTATTGGCCCCAGCCACCGCGCTCCACTCCAAGCCTAGTTCTGCTCCTGGCCACTGGCCATGAGCCTGGCTTCACTCCCATCCCCTGTCCTTGCCATCAGGCGGATGGCCTGGCTACACTTCCAGCCCTGGCCCTGGTTCTTGTCAGACCAGAGAATTCCTGAACTAGAGAGGTTCAACCTGTAGTAGAAAAGTATTTTAGGTGTCTCTATAACTTGTACAATGCTTCAAAAAAGTTCCTGCTGTACAGACACCTGATGATTCTGGTTTTTTATTCTGTTCAATATAGATTCTTACACTGCCCTCACGTGAGCACCTTCCAGAAATGCATGAAGTCACTTGACTAATACCTGTCACATGTGGCTGGTTGGCTGTCCCAACCTATTTCCATGGGGAGAATTGAATGTGTGGTGGAATTTTTGGTTTGGGAGGGGATTTTTATTCTTCAAATGCACTTAGATCAGGTCGAAGAAATGCATATTTGCACATAGAAAGGAAGGTGTTATGGTTTCCGGTGTTCCTTATTTTAGAAGGGAGTTCACTGAATAATCTCAGACTGGCCCCTGAGGAAGTTCTGTGCCCAGCACAGACTAGTTTTACCTCTACTACAGATTTTTAAATTGCAGAAATGTCTAGAGGTTATCCGGTGGCTGCATGCTTTATAAATCAAATAAATCTCAAAAAAAACCAATCTCTATTTAATCCAAGTCACATGGTAAACTCCCTATATGTTCAGTTTAAATACCACTTCAGTTTAACAAATCATTTTAACTCATGTTCTATAAAACATACCATCATAATTCTCCAGACTCCTTACCACACAGTCCAGCCATCAAACATATATACATTAATCTGGTCTTACCACATTTATTTATACATATGCATTCACTAGCAACAAAGTCAGAAATAATTCCAAAATATAAATGACAAACTCAAAACAAATGCTTACCAATAGGAAATGCGAACATATTGGGAAGTGTTCGGGTGCAGTAAAACATTAGATGAAACTGAGTAATAGTTATTAGACAGAAGATCGTTGATACAGTTGATCCAAACTGCTTTCTAACTTCTTTCCTTAACTTCCATAATGCATAAATCACACTAAGCCCCAGACTTCCTCGAACTTAAACAAAAAACAAAACAAAAATCACAGATTTAAAAAAAAATGTCAAGTTACTTATTGACAGAGGCAACAACAGAGAGGAATGTGAAGAAATATTAAATTACTACTGCACAAACACAAAAGTAGCTCAATATTTAAAAGACGGAGTGTTTATAAAGAACCAGGCAAATTATATTACAATATTTTAGATCAGACTTAAAATAAAAAATAATATCCAATGCAATCCATCCTTGCTTGGTTATGATTCAGTATCACAGCGGTTGAGCTCTGTGAGTGATGTTACATAGGATGGTGTAGCAGGGAAGTCTGCCCCTTTAAGGGACTGCAGAGCTAGGGAACAGCAAGCCCTGGACAAAGAAGAAGCCCAGAAGACAAGTGCAGGGCCTGCAACTGCCCTGCCACTCCCCCGCCCCCAGGCTAATCAAAACCTGGGGACTGAGAAGTGCGCAAAATCTCCTCCCCCTGACACCAGTTCTCTCTAGTTGCCATGCACCCACGATTGGCCTGAGGGCAGGAGGAGCGCGAGAGGTCTCCTCCCACCGTGGCACCTAGAGGGAAGGGTCAGCTGTTCAAAACAGCTGGTGATTCTCTCTATGTGGGGGGGAGGGCAAAGATTTCACACTCCCCCACCCCTGGACAATCAGGGTCTGTGAGTGGGGGAGCATGAGAAGTCTCCTGGCTCTGCCTCTTCCGGGATGGCTCAGAGCCACTTCAGAAATATTTGAAGTGTCCCCCCCCCGCCATTAAAATTATCGCCCACTCCTACACTAGGAGGTGGTGGACTCTGTAGTATAACATCTATGTCAGAGGGGTGGGGTGTAGTGTGTGCTTGTGTATGTGTGTGTGTGTGTCTGTGTGTTCATGTGTCCCCCCACAAGCAGGTAGAAAAGCCCACCAGACTTCCAGTAGATGGTGATGTGTCTAAATAAAACAAAATGTGTCACAAATAACTTTGAAGTGAATTCTAAATTCCCTTCACCCATCCCCTTAGTTTTCTGTTAGGACTGATGTGAAAGGTTTACCAGTTCTGCTTAACTGGTAGGGGCTGGAGTAGCCCCCTGCCCACTGCTCCAGACCCACAGAGTGCCCGCTCTGGACAGGGGTTGCTCTCATCCAGAGCGGCTCCGATCTGTAGCGAGTGTCCGGAACAGCCTCTGTCCACAGGGAGCCCGGCCCGCTGCAGACAGGAGCTGCTCCACACAGGGGCTGGGAGTGGAAGCTGTGGGGACTGGATGCGGAAATCCCATGGGCTGGAGGCTGCTCCAGATGGGTCCCCTGCCCATATCCTGCTTAGCTGGTTAACTGGTTAGACGTTAGGTTAACCTAATGTTTAATCAGTTAACTGATTGATTGGGATTTTACATCGCTAGTTAGAACTCTGTTACTTTAGTATAACTTTGTGTGGTTTAGCTGTTCCTAGAAGCATGGTGGAATCTTTGAGTTAGCATTAAGTTAAGTAACTCCCATCTTGAAAGTACACATATTAAATTAATATACTACTATAGTCTCCAGCATTATACCTTACAACCCTCTCACAGACAATTACTGCAGAATACAGCATTAAACGAGATCTTCTTTCGGACCTGATTTAAAGTTCATACCTATCAGTTGGGAGTAAAACTTGGACATTTGCAACCTAGACAGCATATATATAGCTGGGCTGGAAAGTGCAGCAATAAAGACTGGTCCAAGAAACGTTCTTGGGACAACTCCAGGAAATTCATGATGATCGTACTGCAAATAAAAGAGAAGACAAGCAAGCTAGAAATAATGACTAACAATAGAAAAATGTGGCCCGGGGTGGGCATTAACACAGTGGCCAGTCACCATTGTTAACCCCTGGCAGGCCATTGCTGCTATGTTTACCTGCACAGCCACAGGTACTAGCGATCACAGCTCCTGTTGGCCACACATCGCCATTCCCAGACAATGGGAGTGGCAGGAAGTGGTGTAGACCAAAACTCCAGTTCTCGCAGCTCCCATTGGTTGGGACAGTGATCCACAGCCAATGGGAGCTGAGAGTGCCAGTACCTGCAGCCATGCAGCTAAATGTAATGGTGGGGGCCTATAGAAGCTAACCCTTGCGGACCAGATCCGGCCCGCAGGCTGGTATTTGCCCATCTCTGGTGTGGAAAAACTTGATAAATAATGCTCTTATGCTTCATGTTGCATTTGTGCTGATCAGCAAAGAGAGAGCTGGTTATCTTGAACAGACCATAAATAATAACCTCCTCTTTCCTATTCACCTTCTCCAAGTCCAATCTGTGGTACACAATGTCATGGATGGCTTGCAGGTTGAAGCTCTCCTCCACTTTTGTAAATGGACAGACAGTTAAATGAGCAAAGGCCACAGCAATGATCAGCAACAGCAGAAGTGATTGTCCACCTGAGCTCCTCTTCTCAGCCATCCTGGACTTGAAATCCACATCTAGTCTATTAACAGAGATAAAGGTTAACAAGTGGGAAAAAATATCATCATGCTAGTGTCTACAAAGTGAAAGAGAGACTAATGCACTTCATTAAACTAAAAAATGAAAGTATATCCCACTGTACATATAGCCTACTGTATGACTAACAGATCAAATAATCAATGAGATTTTCATATATATATATATATATATATATTATACTCAGCCAGTGTTCCATGATTTGCACTGGCTGCCTGAAGTTTAAGGTTTTGGCTTTGATCTGTAAAGCCTTATGCGCTACCCTAAGAGACCACTTTTTTCCAAAGAGCATACTGCCAACTAGAAGCATAAAAGGAGCTAGTGGCACAGTGTATTCTGTGAGAGTTCTGTATCTTTGTAATTTGCCCCTTCCATTGGTGTGAAATAGCCTGACTCTAATGATTGTATGCAGTGTTGTTGTAGCCATATCGATCTTAGGATATTAAAGAGAAATGATAGGTGATGTCATATCTTTTATTGGACCAATTTTCTGTTGATGTCAGACACAAACTTATCTTCTGAGGGTACGTCTAGACAGTGGCACGGCCAGTATCCCAAAATAGCATTTTCCGCGTCTTAACAGCATGCCCGTTATTTCAAAATTCAATCGAAACAGCGGGCTTGCTATTCTGACATCACGGTAAACTTCATTCTATGAGGATTTGGGGACTTGTCGGAATAGCGGTCTACTTCAAAATAGACTAATCTCAAAATAATCTACAAAATTTGCATAGCTCAAATTGAATAGCTGTGTATACTCACCCTGAGGCAATTTCTAGAAATACAGTTCAGATGTTTATAAGAACGAAATCAGGACAAAATGTATTTTTCTCTTGTTTAAAATTTTTTGCAACCGTTGCTCATCCTGGAATCAGGAATGGGCCTTTTGCTGTTCCCATGAAAACATCGAGGTTCACCCATGCTCAGTAGTGGGATGTTAGAGATTGGTACTTATACTCTCTGTGGATTCCTTCTGCTGACATCATGCTCCCTTCCACCCCAAGCCCCCACACACACATCCTGGTTAGAATGCATAAGTTCCATCCCCACAGAGCAACTGAGGGACAGCGGTATAGTGGAGGCCGAGTCAGTGCAGCATGAGGGATATGGATTAGAGGATCAGGTTGGTGGGGAGACCAAGTTTAGGGTTGGGCCATCTTTTGAGGACACTTGGAATGTGAGTGCTGAACAAAACTTTTATTTGTAATTGGTCCTCCTGGCTTCCATGGGCTAGTGTGGTGCCATACTCTGGAACTATGAGCAAGGAGTCTCTTTCTTACATGCTCCGAATGCCACCTGGCAGAATAGAAAAGGGGGTAACTTAATTAGAATGAAGAAGGGTGAGAAGCAGAAAGGGGCAACCAACACACAAGCCAAGAGGAAAACTGGGCCAGGGATCAGACACAAGAGGCAGAAATAGAAGGGATCAGAGGTATAATGGTCTGTAACATCCTGAGAACCTGGAATTCAATCCAGGAGTCCTGAGTCTTGCCATTCTGCTTTCAGCAGAGGCCTGAGAACCCATGGATACAAATGTTGAAACACTTTTTTTTTATTCAGAACCCTGTAAATTTGCAGATATACACTTTATATTTGAAGATAGCCACATCCAGGGATCTGCAAACGAGTCCCACACTCATCCTTGTTCCACTTGCCCTGCCTCTTCCCCCTGACTGTGCTCCATCCCAGCTCCTCCCTATGTTTTAATGTCACAAATCAAATGATTTGCAGCAGTCTAGAAGCTCTGGGAGGGTGGGAGAAGGGGGCGCAGGAGGCAGAGAGGGAATTTTTTTCCCCTATGAGTGCTCCAGTCCCAGAGAACCCACAGAGCTACCGCCAAAGCTGGACCACAGGTGTTGCTGATCAACAGAATCACAGAGGTTACGTCTAGACTGGCCCCTTCTTCGGAAGAGGCATGCTAATTTCTAACTTTGGAATAGGGAAATGCGCAGGGGATTTAAATATCCCCCGCAGGATTTAAATAAACATGGCCGCCGCTTTTTTTCCGGCTTGGGGAAAAGCTGGAAAAGAACATCTAGACTGGCGCGATCCTCCGGAATAAATCCCTTTTCCGGAGGATCTCTTATTCCTACTTGAAAGTAGGAAGGGCTTTATTCCGGAGGATTGCGCCAGTCTGGACGCTCTTTTCCGGCTTTTCCCCAAGCCGGAAAAAAGTGGTGGCCATGTTTATTTAAATCCCGGGGGGGGGGAGTGGGTTTTTTAAATCCCCCGCGGATTTCCCTATTCCAAAGTTCGAAATTAGCATGCCTCTTCCGAAGAAGGGGCCAGTGTAGACACAGCCAGAGAGATGTGTGTTGTAAAAATAAAGGTTCCAACACTGTTGATTATCTGTCCAGATGTCACTTTGGTTTCACACAAAGGATTTTTCCCTCATTTTCTTGCTTTGTAACTTTTCTCGCTGCCACTGTTAGTAAAAAAGCAAGTCCAAAGCCTGGATAAAAGAGGGGGGTTCTGCAGCTGGGTTTGCTACCCATTCAGATAAAACCTTATAGAGGGCGGGGGGCTGAACTAGATGACCTCTTGAGGTCCCTTCCAGTCCTATTATTCTATGAATCTATGAAACTGAAACAGTTCAGTCCAACTGAAATTTGAGAATGGTAGGTACAGATGAAAGTAAAAACACAAGTTTGACAGTTCTCAATGAGCCAAAAGAAAACTGAGAGCTCAAAGTATTTAATCCCTATTGCTAAATCTGTAACCAGAATAGACATGTGCAATGTGCATGAAATACTTTGGATAGAACAGGAAAACTGGTACAGGTTACACAAGAATTGAAAAAGTATCCTCTGAACAGGGTGTCAATGACATAAGGTGAGCAGGGAGTGACACAATGGTGACTGGGGCTACAATCTTGCACTTAGGAATATGAATGTACAAAGGAGGTATATGAATTATGCTGGCTAACATCACAGTGAAGACCCTCTGAGTTGGGAGCCAATGAACAGCAGAACAACAGCCAAACTATAAACAAAACATGTCAAATGTACAATAATCCAAGTATGCACAATTAGAGCAGCAAGCGGCAGTGAAAAGGACACACAAGCAAGTCTGTGGTGGGGTGCATAGGCTCCACACCGATGAGGAAAGGACAGAAAGATCCTATGTGCAGGACTAACCTTCCTCTCTCCCCCTCCCCACAGCCCTGTTAATTCTGTATGGTAAAGAGGAGACTTTTTAAAAGGAGGAAATTGCAGGCAGGTGTGGGGCAAGTTCATCCTCACCTGGAAACTACTGGAAGTGGGAATGTTAAAAAGTGAGTAACTGGGTAACTGCTGAAAATGTCAGAGTTATACAGTTACTTGTACCGACAACATGGAACGGCAGCCAGCTTGCTGGGACTGGGGCCAGAGTCTGCGTGTAACAATTCACCGTAACCAATTACCCTGATAAATGGTTATCCTATTACATACCTAACTGAACAACTCTTGAAGCCACAAGGGAAACTCCCATGCAGGAGATATCCATCCCCAATTCTAGGTGGAGTACCCCAAACTCCCAGGGAAAGCCTGACAGAGTGACCCTAATTTCAGTACACCAGTCCGAAGGACATGTTGAAACCAGCTAAGCAGACTGTCCTGAAATAAGAAGATATTGTCTGCCTTTTTCCCTTTGGGTTGGGTCCATGGTGAAGGTATTTCCAGGTGCACCAAGACACATTGTTTTCCTTTTGACTCCCCATCAGAAGAAATTTACAAAGGCCCACACAAGGGCAAAATCTCCCTTACAAGGATTAGGAAATGCGGACCTGTGTAAAAACCACACAGCAGAAATAACTAGACATTATTAGGGTGTCCCACCATCTGCAAACTGTACCAAGTATCTGAGGACATACCTATTCTAGACCCCTCTCTGGATATTCACATTTCCACACCAAATGCTGTGAATGAGCCACTTCCACCCTGACTTAATTAGCCTCATTAACCCAAGCAACTTCTTCCATATACATACATATTTATCCCACAAAAGCTTATGCCCTAATAAATCTGTTAGTCTCTTAAGATGCCACAAGATTCCTCCTTTTTTCAGAAACAGACTAACATGTCTACCCCTCCGAGACAACTCTGAAAGATGAGACACAAGCTAGCAAAGAACTGAACTGAGTACCTAAGGGAGGAAAGAGAAAGCAAGGAAGGCCAAGGAAAAATTAACATAAAACAGTGACAAAGGAAACACTGAATGTGCTGACATCACTTGAGAAGAAGAACCTCTAGTGCAGGGCTACTCAACTTTGGATGCCCCAGAGGCCACAATGATACTCACAGCACATGCTGAGGGCCCCAACTCAAGCATGATAGCATCTATATGCAAATATATATAATAGCTTCTTTCACGCTGACTGGCATGAATACAAAGATTAAGACAAGACGACACAACACATAGGCCCCATTTAAGTCAGTTCTGCTAATATTAATAAAATGCAATATTTACCTGATTTCCACTCATATGGGCAGGACTTTTAACAAGCAATGACAGTCCAGGAATTTAACAACTAAAACGTATATCAACAGAAGACCATTATATTGACTGGCCATTGTGCAGCGTGTTCCCAGTGGAGGCCATGTTCAAAGGATCCCACCCACGGGCTGTGTGTTGAGCCCCGTCTAAACCCAAACCACATTGCAGGCTGCAAACAAATGGGCCACGAGCCACTTGTTGAGTAGTTCTGCTCTAGTGAGTGACTTATGAATGGATGAACTGGACAGGCCGATGCCTGGATTGGAGGCACAGGAAGAGCTAAGGTAAAGTTTATTTCAAACTTAGAAAATTAACTTCCTTTTGTTGTACTTGTGTCAAAAGTTGCAAACTTAAGCACTTAAAAATTAGGAAATGCCATTATTAAGATTGCTTATTAACCCTAACTTTGACCCTCTGATGCACGTGCAGTATGATACAGCTTTTACTTACTGATCATACATTATTTTTCCCCACAGGAGCCCTGCATCAGTCAGTGCACAGGACAGACAGTACTCACTCAATGAGCAGCTAATTAATATTTTGTTTTATACTGATTATTCATTATGTGGCCCTATGTACAATAAATCTGACATTCTTCAGACCCTTCTCTGAATTCAGAACTTTCCTGTGGCCTTATCATTATAATAGCTGAATGCTTCACAAACATTAATGAATTTATCTGCATTACATCTTCTCAAGATTGCAGGGGTGGTATTTTCCATATTTTACCACTAGAGAGCTGAGGCAGAGAGAAGGAAGTCATGTGTCCATTAATTTTAAATGGCCTGAGAAAACGAAAACCTGGTTGTTCAGAGCACTTAACATTTTATAGTGATAGAAATGTAGCCGTGTTAGTCTGGTGTAGCTGAAACAAAATACAGGACTATGTAGCACTTTAAAGACTAACAAGATGGTTTATTAGATGATGAGCTTTCGTGGGCCAGACCTACTTCCTCAGATCAAATAGTGGAAGAAAATAGTCACAACCATATATACCAAAGGATACAATTAAAAAAAGTGAACACATATGAAAAGGACAAATCACATTCAGAACAGAAGAGGGATGCGGGGGGGGAGAGGGAAGGAAGGTGAGTTAATGATATTAGAGGTGGGGAAAGGTAGATGTCTGTGAGCTAATGGTATTAGAGGTGATAATTGGTGAAGCTATCTTTGTAATGGGTAAGGTAGTTGGGGTCTTTGTTCAGCCCCCCGCGGAGAGTGTCAAATTTTAGCATGAATGCCAGTTCAGAGGATTCCCTTTCAAGTGCAGATTTGAAAGTCTTCTGTAGTAGGATGCATGTGATTAGGTCATTGAGACAGTGTCCTTTCTGGTTGAAATGGCAAGAAACTGTTTTTTCTTTGTGATCCTGTCTAATGTCTGTTTTGTGGGCATTGATCCTTTGGCGAAGTGTCTGAGACGTTTGTCCAATGTACATAGCAGACGGACACTTTCAGACTATAACATTTTATAGTATTTCAAATGTTCATAGCAGAGCTCCCAATTACCTCTATTTCAACTGTGAATACTCAGCACTTCTACAAATCAGGCCTCAGAGGTCTCAAACTGGGCACCCAAAATAATGAGGAACTTGCCTAGCATTACAGGCAGTCCCCGGGTTACGTACAAGATAGGGACTGTAGGTTTGTTCTTAAGTTGAATCTGTATGTAAGTCGGAACTGACGTCCAGATTCAGCCGCTGCTGAAACTGACCGCCAGTTCTGACTTACATACAGATTCAACTTAAGAACCCCAAGCTTCCCCAAGTCAGCTGCTGCTGAAACTGATGAGCGCTGATTCCAGGAAGCCTGGGGCAGAGCAACTCTGCCTCGGGCTT